TAAGGGCAGATCTTTCAAGGACACTGAACTTATATTGTAAGTTAATATTGCCTTTCTCCTCTCCTTATGTCTTTTGAATAGTTTACTTTAAAGCAATGTCCTTTTGTATAGACACAAGAAGACAATTAATGTTATGCTTTTGTAATACGGGATTTAATTGTCTTCGAATATTATTCATTCCCCGGCATCTGCTTTCTCAACTTAAGCCTCAGTTGCCCTCACTTCCTAGCGCCCCCAAAAGTAGGGTCCCGATGAGGGACTGGATGGAATCAGGGAAAGCGGTAAGCTATGTGCTACCCTGGCATCGAGATGAGCCTAGCCAAAGTGCCACAATTTAACATAGTTAAAAGCTTGATCACAACAAATGTTGTCATGATCCAAAAGTAACGACAAGACTAGGACCCTGCTAGGGATAGGAAAGACTAATCTGGCCTGAGCACTGTAGTCTGAGATCGAGATGACCCCAGGAGAGCAATTCTATAAGCTTAAAGTATTTCTTATTGTGTCCATACAAAATGATTTACCTTATGTATGCTTATATGTTTGTTGGACAAGGAGAGGAGAAACACACCCAGGAGATTCTGTTCTAGGGTGGGTGGGTCTGCTAAATGAGAATCTGTCCTAGAAGTGGTGGCTTTCCCAAGGAAAAGAACTCTACCCCTATTGATTGTGACCACACCTATATGTAATTGTTAACCCAACCTGTTGGGGCTGGACTGAGCTGTAAGGGTGAGCCCATGTAGGCTGCACTGCACAATGGGCAGGAACATAGGGACCCATGAAAGTGGGCGAGATTTCTTGTGTGTCCTGACTAGTTTGGATGAGGCTGAACATTTTCCCCCTTCATTATCTTGTAAGAGGCAGTTTTCTTTTTCTCACAGAAACCTGGCTGGTCTTTGATATGCAGATCTCAGGTGCTGGCTAGGCCTAATCTTTGGGATGTAGTTTCCAGGCTCTAGCCAGACTAGTCTTTGGGATGCAAAGTTCAGATACTTGTCTTTGGGATGTAGATTCCAAGCTCTAGCCTACTAGTCTTTGGGATGCAAATCCAAGTGCTAGTAGCCCAAGAAAGGTTTCAGTTTTGGTTTTGTATCTTCTTTCCGGAGGCCAAAATTACTGGCCTGCAGATGCAAAGAAACAGTGTATGTTTTGCTGCCTCAATGTTCTTCCTGTAACTCCTTTTGATGGCGTCACTTGCATGGTGCCCTTTAGAGGGCCTCCAACTGACTGAACAAACATGCACACAACACCAGCCCCTAATGCTGGGGGATAAATTGGGGCTGTAAGAGTGGGCTGGGGAGGCAGAGGAGAGATAGGAGTGAATGGAGAAATTGGATTGGATTGGAATAAACTGCAACTAAGACCAACCAGCCTGGCCCTCGTTTCTTTCCTTCACCTGCCCTTGGCCAACAGCCTCCAGAGGCTCTGGAGCATCGAACGTGGGTGGTGAGATACAGCCATCCAGAGAGCCCACGAACACACAAACTTCAGCGTGCGTAGTTTTTTACATACCTCAAACCAAGGTGATCCTGGTTATCACAACAATGGCAGAGGAAAGGCAAGAGCAAGAAACACTTAAAAAAAAAACAAGTGGAAAAAAATAGGGAGTGTGGTGCTGGAATGTTTTGTGCAGGAAGTCTTACCATTAACAGTTTTGTAAACCATGATCCTAAAATAAAATTTTTTTGGTTGTTTTTTTTTTTGCTTTTTTTTTTGGGTCACACTGGCGATGCACAGGGGTTACTCTTGGCTCTGCAATCAGGAATTACTCCTGGCGGTGCTCAGGGGACCATATGGGATGCTGGGAATTGAACCCGGGTCGGCTCATGCAAGGCAAACACTCTGCCCGCTGTGCTATCTCTCCAACCTCTAAAATGTTTTTAAAGTCAAGGTTTTAGCAGCAGTAAAATATAGATAAACCTATGCAGATACTAATTATTCTATAATTTTTACTTTAGACTTGACAATTTTCATATAAAAACTATTAGAGGACTGTGCCAGAAAGACTGTATAGGGATTAAGGCATTTGCCTTGCATGCAGTCAATTCAGAATTCAATCCCCAGCAATTGTGTATGTTCCTTTGAGCACCGCCAGGGGTCATCTCTGAGTTCAGAATCAAGAGTAAGACCTAGGCACCACCAAGTGTAGCCAACACCCAACCTCCCATTTATTAGAGGGGCTGAAATATGGCTTTCCTGATAGAGTGCATGCCCTGAAGATGTGAGGCCATAAGTTTGATGCATGGCACCAAATGCACCACCTGTCAGCCCTGCCAGGTGTAGCCTGGGCACCTTCAGGCACCAAGCATTGAAGCCAGCCAGAACAGTGGATCACCAGGCTTCCACCGCCAGGTTCAGCACTGCTGTAAATGGTCTCTGACCCCACCGCCCCAAGTACTGCTGCGTATGACTCCTATAAAAATTATTTTAAACTTTATAAAATATACAAAGAGGTTATGAACTTACTTTTACAAATAAGAAGAAAAATGAATATAAATCTGATAGCAAAGAATGTCAATCAATTTCTAGTCTTCATTTTGGTATCTAATCTGTAACGAATATGTACCATGTTCTGACAGTGAAAACTTCTCTTGCGTCCTCCTGAGTCTCACCCCCACAGACTTAAACTTATTTAAACAAACTGCACATATGCAATAAACTCTACATAACTTGGTTACTTTTCTTGAAAAAAATATATAAGCCTTCTTTGAATTTTTTTTCATTTATGGCTTGTCAATGACCATAGTATTTATTTTTAAAGGATTTTTTCTTACTAAGATTGGCATCTTCCTTCATTTAAAAATCTTACCTTGTCAGATACACTGTTACAGCTGTATACAACATTACACAGAGCTAACTTACTTTCTGTACTTTGTGAATAGAAAATCTGAACCTATTAAAGTCACACATTTAATTGTTCCAATATGCTATCTTATTTCTAACCAAAATTTGCTTGATATAGACTGCCAAAGAATAATTTTCTAGCTTCCTTTGTCATAATTCCCTCATTCAATTACAAACTAATAGCTTAGAAGAAAAAATAATCATCTTATTTTTAATTTGAAACCATCTAATATAAAAGTTTTAAAAAAGTTTTAATTGGTATTTCCCAAAAGCTCTTTTTAAAAAAAAAAATATGTAGAACCCTATAGTTTTCAAAGACATACAGATGTTGCCCATGGTAGATATTTTTTAAAGAACTTAAAAAAAAAGTAAGAGTCATGGACAAAATCTTTGGTTACAGGAGTGAAAGATGTGTGCCTGTACAGATGGTATAACTATTTCCACAATAAATACTAACCTTCACTATAGGAATTGAGCAGGACACTTTAATTTGGATTTGAACATTTAATATAAATTTTCTGACTTTGACAACAGCTGCCTAATATTTTAGCTTTCTACACTATTTCCAGGTTTTGCATTCAAAATGAACTTAGTGGACTTTTTCCTTTTTAAAAGCTATATTCCAGATACTGTACCCTAAAACCAGTGTCTAACTTGATGATTATAGAATTAACTCAGGTCATAAAAAAAAGAAGGTTCTTCATAAATATTTTGTGACCAGCAATGTTTTTTAAAAAATGTATTAATTTGTATGTACTAAGCTATTCTACATTAACTGTGTTCATCTATTTTTCATTATTATCAGAGTCTATTAAAAATAAGACAAAATATTACAACCAATTTTGAATCATCGTCTGTGAATTAGCCAAAGACTCAATTAGTTGATTAATTCAACCATGCCTTTATTCTCCATCTAGTCAATATTGTAAAAACAGAAATGTATATCCATCACATATGATATAGATGCCCAACAATACAGAGTGGAAAGATTTCTAGAACTACAGTTTTCAAATTTAGTGAAACTGTTAACTTAAACATACCAACTTAATATTTAAAAGTCTTACCAAGTTGGGCAAATTCAAGAAGTAATGTAGTTTTTAAAAAGACAAAGCTTTTGAAAATGTAAATGTTGGCCACTTAACACCAATACCAAAAAGAAGACGTACTTCTTGATATCTTTGTGAACAAAATAAAATAAAAAATAATTTAAATTAAGACATAAAGCTTTTGAAAATGAAAATGTTAGCCACTTATCACCACTACCAAAAAGAATACATACTTCTTGATACCTTTGTGAACAAAATAAAATAAAAAATAGTTTAAATTAAGATATAACGGTAGCCTAACCAGACTGAGAAAGTTCCTTTTAAATAAGGTAAGTTGTATGTTTTTCTGCAAACGATTTTCTTCTGCAATCGAAAGTTAACATTTTTTTCTTTTTGTTCATCAAAATAGAGAATTCCTTTCTTTGTACTGAAAATGAGGCAATTTTTGTTCTTTAATTGCAAACACTATAAGAAACTCTGAAGCACTTCAATCTCAACAAGTCACATAAAGACACAGTAAAGCCTAAAGATTACGTGGAAGCAACATCAGTGCTTAATGAGCAGAAAACCTCTAATGAGTTGATATGCCACTGTTTGTGAGAATGTAAATTTTATCTTGATAGATAATAAAATAATGACTTAAAATGATGTTATTCTTCTATCCCTCTCCATAAAACAAGTTTTTTTAATAACTAATAGAAACAGAAAATTTATATTCTATTGGCAACATTTTGTTTGCTGGATTAGATGTTATCTATTACCCACATTTGATGACAAGTCACTTACAGAGAGTCTTCAAATTATTTATAATGCTTTATACACGAGGAAATAATAAATTTTGAGCAATGGGTATCTACCTCTGCTTTTAAAAGTGAAACTCCACAGTTACAGAGCACTTAATGCTTATTGCAGAACTACCAAGAATCCCAGGGTGAATATCTCAGGTTAGGATTCCAAGAAGCCAACTGCCCCACTTTGAGGTGGGGCTCAAGCTTTGAAAAGAGACTGCCCAGTCTGTTTAAAATCAAAATGGCTCTTGATCTGATGAATTATTCCTCAGAGAATAATGTAAATAAAATATTCAGAATAACATTATTAATGTACACATACCTGAACCGGAGTCAAATTTGGTTTCTGACCTGCAAAAGGAAAGAATTTTTTTACAATATGAACATTTTGTGCAAAAAAAAATAAGCTATGTTATGGGGAGACAAAAAATTATAATAGTTCATTTTAGTTCATTGGTCAACATTTTAGTTCACTGGTCAACAAGTAAACAACTTTTGGAAATGCAAATACATGTTTAACATTTAAATGCATGCATCACCCTAAGCCCCCAAACAAATCCCCATATAGATGGCCCAGTATGGAAAAAATATTAACTGCTTTAGTTTGTAACAGAAAACTATGTTTTAAAAAATCATCCAAACACTACTGTAAGAGACCCAAACTACAACAATTAACCTCAAAAACATTTCTGTCAAGGAGACAGGTTGGGCAGCAGGAGGGAAGCTGGGGACACTGAGGGGGGATGTAGGCATTGGGGGTGGGGCTGAAATTGGAACATTGTGTGTGCCTGAAACTGTTGTCAGCAACTCTGCACAGCACAGCATCTAAACTTAAAAAATAGAATAAAATTAAGCGCTCAATCTCTGCAGATTAATTTGTTTCAGTAATGTAATAAAGTAATGAAAACTCTAATTTTTTAATTCTCTTCTTTGCCTTAATATTAAAGATTTCCAATTATTCAGCACTAAGTAATTTTTCATTAAGTTTTTCATGTAGTAAATGAACCTAGTAACCCCATACATTTAATAATAAGGGGGGAAAATCCAAGCCCTTGTGGGAACATTATGTTTCAGATATAGGTTAATACTGGTTGTAAATTCAGAAGCCTTTGAAGCTCTCAGTTCAGCTGTGGGAAAACTTCTGCAGGGTAATTACTCTCAAGATGCTGCTGATGTGCTGTCAGGCAGAATTAACCCTCTGACTAGGCCTATCTACACAGGCCACTATAAGACAGCATTGTCTATATCTAGCTCGCAAACCAATTAGTGGCCATGCTCCAGTCGAATTTATATCACACACTAACAATCAATAGTATATATGTTCACAGCTGCCACAGCAAGATACGAGAACCTACCAGCAGGAGTCCTGTTAAAGGATGTTACATTGACAGAGAAGATTTTTTTTTCCTGGGGAAATGTAGTTTAACTAAGTGGGAAACGAGATTTCTTTGAAACTATGCCAGTATACCAAAGCACTTTGGGAAGTGGTGGCTTTCTTTACCTAAATGAGCTTCAAGAGAAGTCATCCAAAGCAGGAAGGAGGTGGGGGAAGATGGAAATAAGTAAAGAGTGGCTTCTTTTGTCTTAAAATTTTATTTTCTTAGGAATTCCCAAATAAAGTTTCACCTGATGCTTAAACAAAATCAATAGCTATTTAAAAAATATCTCTAGTAACCATGATTAATAATAGTTACCCCCATGATACAGTTTTTCCCATGAACAACCCCTCCCCCCCCTGCCCTGCCCCCAGTCCTTATCTCGGTCCTTCTCTTGGGTGCCCCTGATTCCTATTTCAGGTGTAAACCCTTTTATTGTGGCAGGCAGTGGGTAGGGGCCCACCTAGTGGTGCTCAGGCTCTATACTTAGGGATCTCTTCTGATGCTCAAGAGACCTTACGAGGTGCCAGGGATTGAACCAGGTTTGGCTGAAAGGCAAGCATCTTAACTTCCTGTTTTATCTCTCCAGCCCACAAACCCATTTTGATTTCTGCCCTCTCTCCTGCTCTGGAAAGTTAAACAGGGTTATGTCCAACTCTCTCAGCGTAACTGTCTCTAACACTTAGTATGCACTACCCTACTGGGTTCCTTGCAGACCCGCCCTCACCCCCCAAGTCTGTTTATTAACCTCTGTAGTCACAGCACCCGTTGTTCATAGATTTGCTCGAGCAGGCACCAGTAACGTCTCCATTGTGAGACTTGTTGTTACTGTTTTTGTCATATTCTAGTCCTGGAACTTCTACTCAACAAACATCTATTGAGGGGACCTTCTCTTACACATACCTCTGATCTTCTCAGCTGCATAAGTCCTTCTTACTTTTGTTCCACTTGAGTCCTAAAATGCATGTTCTCATATCCCTGAAATTAGGCTGGTCCAATGATTTATTCTGTTACATTTGCAATTTGGGGGTATTCATAGGTACCTTTCATGTGTTTTAGAATTAAACCAAAGCACTTCTTTCAAATCTCTTTTCTTGTCACTTTTCTTCCTGGCTTCCCAAACACATTTACTGAGGGGATAGATTATATGCTAGCTTGGTATGTCTTTCTTTTCTGATTGCACAGTAACGTCTGAACCACTTATGATCTGTCCTCACTAGGATTTGTGGGTGGCCTTCTAGTGCTAAATCCTAAAGCCCTGTGACAGTCACTTTTAAGCCCTTCTCCAAATAACAAATATTACTTGACTGTCCCACTGCTACCAAAAATTTACTTGATAGTGGCAAGAATTAATTTTACATTTCAAATTAGAATCTTAACATTTAAGCTGGAAATAATGGCATAATTCTGGATTTCTTCTGCAACCATTCTGATTAATCTTGATTCTATTACCTTCCCCCTCTCCCTATATTCAAAACCACTATCTTTAGTCCTAAGGTTTTCAGGACTTATGAGAAAATTACTTTTTGAATAAATTATTTTTCCTAAGGGCTGGAGCGATAGCACAGCGGTAAGGTGTTTGCCTTGCATGCAGCCAACATGGCCGACCCGAGTTCGATTCCTCCACCCCTCTCGGAGAGCCCGGCAAGCTACCGAGAGTATCTCGCCCACATGGCAGAGCCTGGCAAGCTACCCGTGACGTATTCGATATGCCAGACACAGTAACAACAAAGTCTCCAATGGAGATGTTACTGGGCCTGCTCGAGCAAATCGATGAACAACAGGAGGGCCTTTACCTTTACCTTTTAATTTCATAAGCACCTTGTTCAAATCTATTATTTAATCAGTAGGTAGGTAGCATTCCACTGTCCACTGTTCTCCTGTTGTTCATCGATTTGCTCGAGCAGGCACCAGTAACGTCTCCATTGTGAGACGTGTTGTTACTGTTTTTGTCATATTGAATACGCCACAGGGAGCATGCCAGGCTCTGCTGTACGGATGGGATACTCTCGGTAGCTTGCCGGGCTCTCTGAGAGGGATGGAGGAATCAAACCCGGGTCGGCCGCATGCAAGGCAAATGCCCTACCTGCTAGCACAGCAGGTAGGTAAGTAAAAAATTAATCGAATCACCACCCTAACCACTAGAATAAAGTTTTCCAAACTTGGGTCACAAATCAATGTATTACTGTATTAAAATTAATTTAATGGTTGTAATCAGTAATTTCTTTAAAAAATAATGGGGAAATACAGAATACATTTAATATACTGAGTATACTGATTTATGTGACTCTCAGGTATATAGTATGCTAGGTATATTGCTGTCTCATTATGTTATAACTATTAAAAATGTTGTTCCCTATTACTTTACCAAAAGTAAGTGCCAAGTGCCCTTTCTGGGATGGAAGTGCAGCTGTAGTGACTTTCAGCTGTGTTAACCAAACAGAAAACCAAATAAGGAGCTTTCTTCAACTTCTGACCACTTTTCTTTGCTGTCCTCTCCTGCCTATCCCTCTCCAAGCCCCTCCCATTCATCCCCCTACACACACACACACACACACACACACACACACACACACACACACACACACTGAATAAGGACTTTTTAAAGCTGGGAACAGCACACACAGCAGTGCTCAGACTTACATATGGTCCTTTCAGGAATGACCCCTGAGCCTTAAGTCAGGAGTAAGACTTGAGTGTGGTTTAAGACATAAATGAGAGTGTGTGCTTTCACATGTATATGCTGAACAGTGTTTCCCTTATAAGAGTCCTTCTCTTATATACTGGTATCCTTCTAACGAGACCTCCTCTCTACTAGAAAGAAACTCCTCCTTCATTGGAATCTTTAAGTATGAAAGCATCCAGCATTCTCTACCCTAATGACCCTGAGCTGGCCTCCCAGACATACATAGGTCATTTATTCAGAGAAACTTATGCTGAATGTGAGTATAATTCCAACTTAAGAGGTGACTAAAAGCTGTTTCTTGAAGAAGAATATTTGAATGTGCGGGGTGGAGAAACCTCATGCAGAAAGACAAGAAAAAGGACCTGGGCAAGATGCTCTACCTATTTTTCCACAAGCCACTTCAGATAATTCTTCATTTTATTCCTCTTGTGACAGTGGGGAGTGAGAAACACCTAGAAGTCAAAAGTTGCCCCTTGAATCAGACAGGCATAGACTAGAAGGCAGTGGAACTCAGGTTCCAAGCTCGTTGGGATAGGGAACAGGCAATGAATAGATGTGCCAGATCCTCTGGCAAAATTAAAAGTCCTTCCTTAAATAAAGAGGAAAAAAAGGTATTTCTCTTATGGATCTCACAGCCACTGGGAGGGAAGGTTGGGGAGCTTTCTTCTTTCCTTGTATTTGGCTAAGTGTCCTTTGTCTCTGCATTTCCACAATCAAATTAAAATTTTCCCTGTTCTCAGTTATTTGGTATCACTGTTTTTACACACTTTTCATTGTTCCTGTTAAAATTTACATTCATCGATGTTGATTAGTATTCTCTTTCTAACACTTTACTGTCTTGATTTACAACTTTTAAATAAGTAGATCTGTGCCCCAGGTGTTCTCTCGTCCAGACCCTGCAAATATTAGGATCAGTCTTGGTAATCAAACATCTAGAAATAGGCCTTACCATGATCAACAAGTTTGACAAAGTGACTGACCTGCTTAGCCCAAGTTCTCACTACATCACAAGTGAATAAGAGAATAACCAGGAACTGGCTTCCAGTTTCACTTCTGATGCATACTGTTGTCTCATGCTTAATAACTTAAACTACTGCTCTATGCCCTTCTCCCAGATTATCACTCACAACTTTTACTCAAATGTCAAAACTCACCTCAATGATAGCAGCACTCTCCCTACCCCTCTATTCAAAGAGCCTCTTTCTTGCCTGTGGGTTACCCCACAGTATGGGGCAGCCATGGCAACCTACACATTATGTAGATATGGAGGAATCAACACCAATACAAGA